TGATTCTAATGTCCTTTTGCAGGCAAAAGTCCCATTGACTTCAGTTGGAGTTAGAGATCAGGATCAGTGGAGGTACAAGAAAATAGGTAGAAGGTATGTTAAAGCCTTAAACTTATGGGGATGACCTTGCACTCTGTGTACCCCAAACTCCCATTGTCTTCACTGGGAGCCAAATAGACTTTTTTTTTTTAAACAGATGATAATCCTGGGCAGGTTTAAAGAGTAAAGAATCCCTCTTTCTGTCCCCCACCCTTCACAACCCATTATGCCTCCTCCTCTTTGCACTTTTAAAAGAAATAGGCTGCTACAGTGGTGGATGGTTCTTATTCTGTCATCCCAATTGCACCAGCTGGCCTATGCAAAGATACTGGGTTTAACTAGAGGTATAGTTCTAGGCAAGATTACTGTGGCATTGAAAAAAATAGGAAAAAAATCATGCTACTGATTTTCAAAACAAAATATATTTGTCTTGCTAGCCCTGTTAATTAATCTTTCAGTCAGCCTTTCTTTAGAGCTTGTGTAGGGGAGTGTAAAATATTTTTAGGTCCCTCCCCATTGGTGTTACCTACTCCAGCTCCTCCTGAAGTCAGTGGAAGTTTTGCCATTGACTTCAATGAGAGAAGAATCAGGCCTCAAGTAACTACACTGACTTAAAAAAAACAAGTAGAGGTCTTTGCAGTCCTCAAGTAAAGCTCTGGTTGAATCAATGAGAGTTTTGCCCGTGATCAAAAATGCAGGACAGGCACCTACATATGCCCTACCATCCAAAACGCCAAGTGAGAAAGTAGAAAACATTTTATTTCATTCTGTGTGGCTACTTGATAAGCAACTGTTTTCTGAAATGTAAAAAAACAAACAAACAAAAAACCACTTTTAAAGGGCAGCAATCATATGCCTCTAAAATTAAAAAACAAGAGCATGAAACATAATTACTCATCTTTATGCTCCTAAAATAAATACATCAAAACATTGAAGGTTTTTGTACATTGTCATTTTCACAGTTTGGACATATGTTTATAGGGGGACCTGTCCCAGTTAGGACATATGTTCCTGAGTTTGTTTAGGACATATGTTAGTAAATTTGGGGAATTTCTGAATAATGTGAATAATTTTGCTTGATTTACATTAAAAATTAAAGTAAAATGTTAATTGGTTTGAAGATAATGTTCAGTAAAAGGCACACCAAGACTACAACAACAAACGAATTGTGGTTTCTAATTAAAAAGATATTTGCACATTTATTGAGCACATATATTCTACATCGGTAATTCTGAACTGGTTGGTATCAGCGGAATGTTTACCTTCAGTTTCAAAGGGAAGGCAACGGACATGTCTAGAGACCCAACTAGTATACAGTAAATATAAACTGAAATTACATGTAAACGTCTAAGGCTAGTCAGGAGAAAACGGACGTTTATTGTTAAGGTCTAGAACATCTTGACACTTCTAATTTGCACTTTAATTTGACGATTTAATTATTAGCCCGGTTTTGTTGTTGCTCTTTTCGATTGTTTTTAAGTCTGCATTAAATCAATCCTGGATCCAGGAGGGGATTTTATTTATTTATTTTGAGGTAGGAAGAGTGATTTGGGGGAAAGGATAGTGTACATTCTACATAATCCTGCATTGCAAGATGAAAAGTAGCAAAACAAATACTCCAGACATTTATTTACTCACTGATGCTTAGCATTTCCAGTTGGACTATATTATGTATGTATTGGTTATTATCAAGGGGGGATAATAATGGCATGCTCGGTTTATCGTGATTACGATTATTTCCATGGCAATCTTCTTCACATAACCTTATACCTAGGGTGATGATAATGCAGATGCAGACAGACAGATCCCATGAACCTAGGGGGAACAGCTGGAGGCTGGTACTCGCCCAGTGTAAGAAGGAAAGTATTGCTATAAATTGGGAGTCTTTATAGCTGTTCGGCTGGAGGAAGTTTTTGGCTGTAAACTGTCATGCACTGCAGCTCTCAGTGAAAAGGCTGTGAAAGTGGGGAGTTTTCTCTCCTGAGAACCAAAGTGCAATTAAGATCAGAAAGGAGAAGCAGGGCAGAGGGGGAAAATAATAATAAAGAAGAGGGCACAAATAGCTGCCCAGGAAAAATCTTAGTATTTTCCCTATCCCTCCCAAAACATACACAGCTCTCCCACCGTTTGCACTCATTTTTATGTTGTTTAAAAAAAATGCAGGTATTCTTTTTATCATTTTTAACTTAAATCCGGGAAGACTGTTTAAAAACTGTCACCTAAATCTTGGGATATTCCTTAGTTCTTTGGGGCTAAATGGCGAAGTCACTAAAACAAATATTATAAAAGTGAAATATGCAAAGTGAAATAAACTCCATCTTTCTTTTGAATGGTAAATTAGAGAAAATGATAACATCTGGTGATACTGCATGCAACGTTTAATAATAATGTTCAAAGCATTTGTGTTGCCCGTGGTATATGAGCTTTCCTTACATGTATTGTTCTTCTTTAAAATTAAGGAATTAGCCTGCTTAGAAATATTTTAATTCCGAATCGTCAATAACAATGTTTTTATTAAATTTCAAACCATCTTAATATATAATCAGATCGAATCCCGTTTCCCTTTCATACCTAAATCCACTAAAACAGACGCGTCGCCTTCGATTCCGCTAGACTCTTGACGGTGTGTCAGCTCTACAGATGGTTCATATGTAGGCATTTTGTAGGCATATTAGCTCTGCCGAAGAATTTAGAACGAAATTTGTCTTACCCTGGATCCACTAAAATAAAAATAACTTCAGAACACTTCAAAAAATCAGAATGTGTCGAAAGCAGAGAGAGGTATTTTTAAAGATCTAAACTGAGCTGCTAAGCATTACGGGCTGTGAAGGAGACTCCCTCATTTTGGATTAATTTTAAGAGTATCTTGAGATGCAGGATTTTGCAGTGTGATAATAAGATGTTAGAAATCTCATCGTTTAAAAAAATAACTGAGATTGTCACAGATTGACAGCCTCGCATAGAATTTTTGAGCTTGAATGATCATGCCTTTTAAAAGTAAAGTATTATTTTTTGTATGGAACACCGTAAGTAAAATGAGTGTGTGATGCTCGGCTGGTGGAAAGGATCTAGTGAAAATATTCAGAGCGGTGACTGTCTGTGCGTCTCTTCTTGCCCGATTTTTGAAAACCTGCTCGTAGAGAAAGATCGTTCCCCATCAGAAGTGGACTAGATGCGCTCAGTAAGCAAAGCACGTCGGTTACAAAGGTTTTTAAAAATGTGCAAAGACTAACGCAAAGTAGGGAAATGTCTTCACTCTATTTCAGTAAAGTAACAGAGAATGTTTGCATGCGCGATTTTAAAACAAATTAAAAAGAAACACGATCGAGCAAAATAACATTAACTTGATCACCTCATGTAGCTTTTTAAAAATACAACTTTGATTTCTAAATTTAAGATGTAAAAAATGGGTGCAGATTGTATGATGTATTTGGAATTTGACTAATGTAGGTTCCTGAAATCAAGATGCCTATATAGATGTGAAAAGTGTGTTTATATAAAATGTGCGTGCATGTACATAAACCTATCTATCTATCTATCTATCTATCCCCAAGATTAACCATTTTTGAATATAGCTCTCCATTGGTTTCAACTTGTTGCTCTTCCAAAGAGATTGCCATCGACAGAGAAACTTTTCTTAAAAAGCAAACTTTTTAAAAAAACTAATTAAAATCAGTTCAAATAAAACTAATATCCAGTATTTTGAATGTAAGTATGTTTGCATGATATCTTTTTTTTTTGAGAAATCCTTATTTTTACATTGCACTGCCTCCCCTCCTCTTCTTTTGCTCCTGTTTAAAGCGATTGTTATTGTTTAAAGAGACCCCATTGAACTATTTCCTGCTCATTGTCACCTCTCTCCCCCTCTCCCTCTATCCAGAGATTCTCACAGAAAGGTAATAAACTGTTTCCTCACACCACAGATCGCAGCACCTCCTGAGAATTCAAACCATCGAAAGCATTAGTATGTTTCAAAATATTAATTCTCTCACTCCGTATTTACGTCTTGGCCCGTGAGACTGACTGAAACTCCGAGGATTGGAAAGTTTTTCATTTAAAACACACAAAGCCCCTTTTTCCTAATCCAAACATACAATTTTCTCCTTGTTATAAAAGGGAGGGGGGATTTAAGCGTCAATTTATCGATATAATGTTTATAAATATTTCCAATTTAAATGTTAGTGTACTTAGATGGTTGTAAACATCAGTCGTTTTAATATGCACATGTACTATAGAGATCAGTGGTAAGAGACAGAGCTACAGTCCTTCTAAAAGATAATCTGAGGTGGTCAGTAAATTCTTTAGGTTGTGTGAAGGCAACAGTGCAATGAGATCATCAAACTGAGGTTGAGGGTTTATTTCAGATAAGTGCTTTCTGGTCAGTTGCTTTTTGATTCTTTTAAAACATTTCTTGTCGATTTAAAATTGGCCTCATGCTAATTTTAATGGTCACATAGACAGGAATGCCACAATCCGTGACAATGTGAATGTGAGGTTTCTGTTTTAAGAGCTGATACTTTAAATGTCTCATAGAAATCCATTGCAAATACTGTACCTTCAACAGCGGGGGGAGGACTTTTAATACTGCCTAAATGATAACTCGCGCTAGCGGTGTCTACTTTCTAGGATTGGCTGGTCTAGAATGGTGTCTAAAATAAAACCTCTAGGGTTTGCTGCCCTATGTTGCGAGCGGCATGTCAATGTACCTATAATGACTGCTGCTGAGAAGGCAGGAGGCTGCTGCACACAGGTTATGGGGCTGTTGCTGAGATGGGCCATTTCCTCCTAGGCTGCTGAAGCCCCAACCCCGGCGGCTTTGATAGAGGTGCAAACATTTGGGGGCAGATTTACATAAAATAGCCGTGTTTAATCCCACTGGCCGCAATTAACATCACAGGCTTCCCCGGGCACCGTTCTGATATGGCCGCAGGGAGCCAATCAGCTGGGTCGGCCGGAAACATCAAAGGGGTTCTCCTCCAATCAGGGGAGCCCCCCCACAGGCATTGTGATGTCACCAGGGGATATTTATTGGGGGGGTATAATTACTGTCCCCTTGGCCAGTTCCAGTCGCGCAGACCAGAGAGGTCAAGTGGATTAACCCTTCTGCCACCACATTGCAACCAGCCTGGATCCTTCCCACTGTAAGCAGCCAGGACCCCCTCCCAGGAGCCTCGGGGTCCTCCTCTCCCGCGTGGCTGTTCGGCGTGGAATCGCCTCTGATAAGTTCTACCAGGAGTTGGAGCCAGACCTGAGGCTGGAGGTGGCTCCTGGGCAGTAAGTGGTTTGGGGGGAGGGGGAGGAGAGAGGATGAGTTCTCCCGGCACGGAGAGCTCCGGCAAGAGCTTGCAGTACCGGGTGGACCATCTCCTGAGCGCGGTGGAAAACGAGCTGCAGGCTGGCAGCGAGAAGGGAGACCCCACGGAGCGGGAGCTACGAGTCACTCTGGAGGAGAATGAGCTGTGGTTGCGCTTCAAGGAGCTCACCAACGAGATGATCGTGACCAAGAACGGCAGGTAGGGTCGGGGACGCTGCTGGCAACCCCCGGGGGGGGAGGGGACCTGCCCAGCTCCCACTGCTGCAGGAGACAGCCGCAGCCCCAATGACTGCACAGCCATTGGGGCTGAAGACCCCCTCTCCCCTAGTCCCGCTGGGGTTCTCTCCCCCCAGTTAAAGGGTCCCCCCTGCAACATTATGTTGGGCCGAGTCTGCTGCCCCCACGCTGCTCGAGACACCCTAATCTAATGCTGCGGGAGACTGTGCCCCGCCCCCCCCGGTGGTATTTATTTCTCCCCCTTTTTACTGTAGATTTCCCTCCTTCCCTCCAATCCAGTCCTGCTGGGGAGGATCTCCCCGTAATGTGGCTGGAGACCCCAGATCCTCTTCCGCTGCTGGGGGCCCCCTGATGTTGGCCGGGTGCCGTCCCCCCAATGCTGCTGGGAGCCTCCTCCCCTCTGCACAGCGCGGCACCGGAGCGGGAGAGGCTGCTGCAGCCCCGAGCAGGAGCCGAAGGTGGGGTCCGATTAGTTTTTGCCCGGAGCCGCACAAAGGGACTGAAGCTCCGCTGGGGGGGTGGTTTAGGGCCAGCTGAGCCTTTGCACCGGGACCCCCAGAGAAAGGTCAAGGGCCAGGCCTGGGAGAGGCAGGTGAGGCGCTAACGCGGCTTCCTGGAGTCCTGTGAAATAGCGGAGCCGGGATCGGCCTTGCTCTGAGGCCCGCGGTGGGGCGAGCAGGAGCCCTGGCCCGGCTCCCCCGGCAGTGGGGAGCAGTTCCCCCGGACAATGCGCCTCTCCCTGGCCCTGCTCTCTCCCCCAGGCGGATGTTCCCCGTGCTGAAGGTGAGCGTGTCCGGCCTGGACCCCAACGCCATGTACTCCTTCCTGCTGGACTTCGTGGCCGCCGACAATCACCGCTGGAAGTACGTGAACGGGGAGTGGGTCCCCGGGGGCAAACCCGAGCCGCAGGCCCCGAGCTGCGTCTACATCCACCCGGACTCGCCCAACTTCGGAGCGCACTGGATGAAGGCGCCGGTTTCCTTCAGCAAAGTCAAACTCACCAACAAGCTCAATGGAGGGGGGCAGGTGAGTGGCGGGGCTGCGGGGGCTGGAGCCGCCCAGGGACCTGGCCGGCCAGGAGCCCCAAGGGAGGGGCGCCGAGAAATAGCGCCCGCAAGCTGCTAGTTCTCAGCGCTGCGGGCAGCAGAGACCTTTCCCCAGAGCCTCCGTCTGCGGGGTGTCAGAACTCAGTGGGGAGGGGCGGGAGGAGACCCCCCCCCAAGTTTATCCAGTCAGCAAAGTCAATCAGGGTGTAGCTAAAAATCAGGGCTGGAAGAAAACTTTTCCAGAGCCTCTCGCTGTAACAAGCAGCTCAGCCTCAATTGCGTGGCTACTTTCCTCCGATAACACCTATCCAGCGTTGTCTGTAAACTTGTGACACATTTCAAAGGCTGCCCATGTAAAAGACGGGGGCTTTTCTCACCTGTCGGAAATACAGCCAGGTCTTCCAAATAGAAGAGTTTCTTTATTTTATGTCAATAGTGTACTGGAGTGGTCTAAAAAAACCGGTTGCTTTTTAAGAGCAAAAATAAAAACGCAAATCTATGTACCTGTAAACCAGGACAAGGAGTCTGCCTAGTAGATTTCACCAAGAAAGGTGAACTAGATTTCATTTGATCTCTACATTATCTATGAAGTTGTTCTTCAGTTTTGTTGACACTGGGTTGTAATCAATATCCTCTATAGTTTTAGACAAACCAACTGAACTGTTTTTGTCCTGATGAAACTTTCCAAGCAGAGGGGGATTTTTCTTAAATAGTCATTTCAGGGTTGAATTATTTGATAATCCAAAGTGTGCATATCTATCAGTAGGCTGCCCTGCCAAATATAATGGCGATAATATTTAGGCAGATAATTTAGTTGCCTGACGTTTATCTTCTTTTGTCAGGCTTCACTTTTAGAATTTACTAGTGTCTGTTGACTTTTGGGACCTCCCCCATCACGAAATATCCAGCATTAGCTTTTTAAAATCAGAAAGTGTTCTGTAACTGTAGAAATTTGCATCCCACTGTGACAATGCTTATGTGTGCTATTATATATTTACAGATCATGTTGAACTCCTTGCACAAGTATGAGCCTAGGATTCATATAGTGAGAGTTGGTGGCCCTCAGCGTATGATAACCAGCCATTCCTTCCCAGAGACCCAGTTTATAGCTGTGACAGCTTATCAGAATGAGGAGGTATGCACAAAATGGGAAAGAAACCTACATGCACTTCTATCCTCTGAATTAGCAAAGTGAAAGATACTGGAGCAAAATATTTATCATGTAACATTTTTTCAATTCTCTGTTTCATTTTAAATTGTATATGAAGTGAGTTTGTTTGAAATTTAAATAATAAAGCCCAATAAATACATAATAATAAAGCCCAATTAGTAACGCTAATTCCCTGTTTCCTATATATTGTAACTTTTTATTTGTTAAAAGTAGAATTATAAAGATTCTTTGGAATTCATCAACGCTACTACTAATGTTAGAAAATCAGTAAGAATAAACTCACTGTTTTAAAGTATAATGAAATAATACATGAACTAATTGGAAATGGCATTTTCAAAACTGACTCTTGTTTTCAAATAAAATGGGCACTTTAAACTTCAATTAAACTGTAAGTTACTAAGCTTATTATCCTAGTTGAGATTTGTTGTTGTTCATTCTGGTCTACCCAGAAACCCAAAACTCTTTATAACTGTCATTAGTGTATCCCCTTTTATATGTGTTTCCTTAATAGGATAATAAAACCAGGTAACTTAGTCAGGCAGTGACAGTGGATGTCTTTAAATTTTGTAGAGAGAATAATTTCAAGTCTACTATTAACATTTGAGATGTTTGGATGCTGTTTAGTTACTTTACATAAATCCATACTATGGCCTTAATCCTACTGCCCCTGAAATCAATGGTAAAATCCCACTAACTTTAGAGAAGCAGGATCAGGTCCTAAATACTGTATGATAATGAGTAGTAACACTTGCAAAATAAGATTTTTGTTGTTGTTTTTAGATCACAGCTTTAAAAATTAAATACAATCCATTTGCAAAGGCTTTCCTTGATGCCAAAGAAAGGTGAGAATTCTTGACTAAACCCAGTTACAAAGTTTGCAAAAAACTTACATATTTGTGAAAACACATTTCTTTCAAATCATTTTCTTTAACTAATGAAATGTGGCTTCTTTGACAGAAGTGATCACAAAGATATGATGGATGAAGTTGGAGACAATCAACAGTCTGGGTATTCACAGTGTATGTTTAATTTCACTCTATTAAGTATATAACTTTAAAAAATACCTTATCTTTCATCTCAGCTTCTTTTGTACTTCCTTTCTATTACAATTTAGTAGTATGTTGTAGCTGAGTAAAATTCAGACACCAGTGTTTGTTTGCAGGCATATGTTAACTCTCACTATAGATTAAGTATGACATTCTAGTTACTTAGTCCTGCCTTGAGTGCAGAGGACTGGACTAAAAGACCTCTCAAGGACCCTTTTAGTTCTATGATTGGTGTCTGATTCTTATGATTATTGTTTTGTAGTTTTTCATGTTTCTTATTGTGTACAATATATTTTATTAAACATTAATACTGTCTTCAAAAATTCTGTAGTGAAATGTTATAATCATTAGTTTTCTACAAGACAATGGGTCTTGGATATAAATAATGCAATATCTGTGGGGAGATTAATGGAAGGAGTGTTTTATTTCAAAAGGTAACAAAAATTAGTGAGAATAAACTCACCAGTTTATTTAATTTATTTTTAAAGTACACTAAGGAAATTGGGGACACCAGTTTTAAAATTCTTTTGTTTTCAGATGGCTAAAATGTCACTGTTTTAGAATTTTAAACTGAATTTTGTTTTAAAGGGACATTGTCAAAAAAAATTAGGTCCACAACTTGAATAAAAGGGCATTTACAAATTATAATGGGAATAGAATTTTAAAAAAATTCTATGAAAACATTTTCTTTTGCATTTGAACATCATCCCACATCAGTATTGGAAACCTCAAGCACAGCAATGTTGTGCTAATGGAGGAGAACCAAAAAGAGATGCTATAAACAAAAGATTAAATTAACCAGTGTGGTTTCACCATCCAAAGTGAATGATATGCAAAATGTACACACAAGATAAAAAATGCAAAGTTTTAAAAATATTTCAGTTTTAATAATCTAAGGTATAATTAGTAACACAGGTAAAGACAGCATCTATTGTAATGGGCAAGGAGAAGCCAACCTGAATAATGTTATTCAGTAGTGCTGGGAGTGAACCTTCTTTTTTGCCCTTATTAAAATTGCCCTTTTTCTCAATTTTTCTTTCAAAATGAATTTTTATGCGAGGTGACATGTATCCACATTTCACTTTTGACAATTGGCATTTTCTGATGGAAAAACATTGTGTTGGGAAATTTCTGACCAGCTCTAATATTTAACTTCAGAGTAATAGTGTTAAAAAGGCTCATAACATTCATAGCCTGCTCTGTGGCATTATGTGTCAGTGCTACGAAATGTCCTCTTTTTCTCATAGTAGGTGGTTGGCTTATTCCTGGAACTGGGAGTCTGTGCCCCCCCTCCAATCCTCATGCTCAATTTGGAGCACCTCTATCACTGTCCTCTGCTCACAGCTGTGAAAGATTCTCATCGCTGAGGAATCATCGTTCTGCCCCTTACACCAATCCATATGCCCATAGAAACAACTCTCCAAGTAAGTTTTTATTATTCTGCAGCTATTTAAAGAGGGAAATTAACCTAGTGGTCCACATTTTGATAAATTACATCAGTGTAAATCTGGAGTAATGTCATTGGAACTGAGATCAGTATCTAGCTCAGTTTGTGCTGAGGGCTTGTGACGATTGAAAGGCAATAACAAAAAGTAAATACGTTTCTCTAGCCTCTTAACAATGGAAAAGTAAGATTTTGTAAAGCTCTATCTAACGTTAGGTTATTAGACAATTCTGTGTCTTACTGTAGAACAAGAATCTTGAAATGAAGGAATACTTCAATGATTTTTAGCCTAGGAAAGCTTGGTTTATTCTGGCAATATTTGTCAGTTAAGTCAGTGGTCCCCAAACTGTGGGGTGTGCCCCCTTAAGGGGACACGAAGGAACATCTCAGGGTGCACGGCAGGGTCTGGGCCAGCCCTCACAAGTGGGTGGGGAGGGAGCACCACCCAGCCCACTCCGGCCCTGCCCTCAGCCTCTGCTCTTGGCTGCTGGACCCCTTTCTCGGCTCCCAGCCCAAAAGGATGCGGACACATTTTATTACTCGTAAGGGGGAGTGCAAGAGGAGAAGTTTGGGGACTTGGTTTAAGTGAAGATGGAATATATGTATCTGAAGAATTTGAGGAAGAACAATCTTAAAGAAATGGCAGTGAATTGAATAGACTTCTAGTTATGGTCGTGGAGTCAAGTGGCATTAACCTAAGTAAATAACTGAGGGCCTAGTTCGGCCACCATTACTCGCATTGAGGAACATCTTAATCGGTGTGTAGTCCCTTTGAAATCAACAAGACTACATGTGTAGTAAGGTACTCCTCAAAATAAGTCAGGGTGACAGAATTGGGTGCATAATGACAATATGTCTATCCAATTGCACTTCCATGAGAAGAAAGGAGGGGATGTTTAACTAACTGCCCATCCAGGACTTGCTATGGTTTTTCGTTCCTGGCCAATAAAGGCTACTGAAAGGGGTTTTTGTTTGTTTGTTTTTTTAAAAAAAAAACAGCTTAATATTTTAAATTTTATAAAATATTATGTAGGCTAGGTGGCATAGTCACCATCAAATTGTTCTAGACACAGCCCATGGCCTGACTGTTCTTAGAATACGTAACTCTGTAAAGTGTGTTAAAGATGAAAATTTGCATGTAGTTGATTTTTGTTGCATCTTGAATCTTTGCATAGGTTTTGCAAATTCAAATAAAATTCCATGAGAAATAATTAACTTCTCTGTGTGCCCTGCTTCTTCCCCCATCCCTCATAAAGGATTTTTCTCCTCCCCTTATGTTCATATGCCACAGCAACCTTCTCTGGCTGTGAAGGGTGGAATGGCATTGAGGCCATTGCTAATTTAGCCCCATAGTTATCACAGCGCTACATAATGCACTCCCCTCATCAGAGGCTGAGCATTTAGGCATAAGGAACTACTGGAGGTAGGAAGTGAAATATGCTTTGGCAACTGAACTTGGGCACCTCATATAGCAAACTGGCACATCATCCAGTCCACAGCCCCAATAAAATTGATAGTTTGACACAATTGGTAGATACGTGTGTGTGTGTATAATATGCAAAGCAGTAATAAAAAAGCCGTACTCTGCATTGAAAATGAGAATTGTGCCTCACTTTAACTGCTAATCTGTTTGTTAAGTGCTTGCTTGTTTTTCACAGCAGCCTATGCTGATAATTCCTCGGCCTGTCTTTCCATGCTCCAATCCCATGACAACTGGTCCAGTCTAGGAGTTCCCACACACACTAGTATGCTGCCCATGAGTCACAGCACTGGTACATCTACCAGCTCCAGGTAGGATTCAGTCCCTTTGCAATGCAGCCCCCCAGATCTTCAGAAATTAGAGTATGTTGGGTTTTTTAAATTGAAGAAAGGAGTGAACAGGTCATTATCAGCTTGACATCTAGTCAGTTTTAAAGTAAAGAGTTAAAAGTAGTTTCAGGTACTACACGTGTCTCTCAAGGTATGTCTGTACTACAAAGGCTATAGTGGCACAGCTGCAGTCCTGCAGCTATGCTGCTGTAGTGTAGTCTCTCGCTACAGCGATGGAAGGGGTTTTTCCATTGCTATAGTAAATCCATCCCCTTGAGAGGTGGTAGCTAGGTTGACAGAAGAATTCTTCCGTTGACCTAGTGGTGTCTATATTGGAGCATTGGTCTGCTTAACTATATCTGGAGCAACATAGTTAAATTGACGTAAGTTTTAGGTGTAGACCAGGTCTAAGTCTCTCTGCCTATTTATGGCTTTATTGTTGCATTTTCCTTTTTTAATGCTTTTTTTTTCTCTTCCCTGTTGATATATGAAAAGCCCCTATAAATATGTGAAAATAAGTGGCCATATAGGAGAAACAATGAAACTGACTTTACACACAGTGCTGCCAAATGCACAGTGCAAACTTATTGGAGAAATAAGGAACAATTATTTTCTCCCATCTTTCAGTTCTAGGAATCTTAAGTGTTATTTGTAACAACAGTAAGTAAAATAACACTTTGACAAGTGTGAGAGATCAAGCAAACATTATCCCTTTAAATAATAGCCCTTGTTTATTGCTTTTAAGAGAACTCAATGAAAACCATCCTCCTGTCATGGACATATATCATGTCTCTTTTTTTAGACTTCTGATTATCTTGATAAAACATTTGCTCACCTGTTGAAAGAAGTTATGATGTTGGATTTGTACCCAATTCCTAGGAATCCAAACTAGAAGTTATTGGGGAGTCAGATGGGATTTTGCTGTTGACTTTAATAGGATCAGGGGTTGGCCCTCTATTATTTTTTTTTAAACAACTTGCAGTTCAAATCTGTAGTCTAAATATTCTGCTAATATACATTAATTGTAGAAAAGGCACACTTATTTATGAAATATGCAAGTTAGCATTTATCTATTAAAATATACCATATATATATTACTAATACAAAGTACTAGATACTTTTTTTACTAAACATAAATTTATTGAAATAATAAGTACTCCCAAGCACTTCTTCTCCCTCCCAAAAATGTCTTCACATTTGGAAGGCAACAAAGTCCGAGGTACTGGATTCAGAGTCAAGAGACTGGGTTGTCTTCTTGGTTCTGCCATTGAATTGCTGTGTGACCTTGGGCAAGTCACTTCACCCCTCTGGGCCCTGACGCCCTATCTGTAAAATGTGGATAAAGGGGGTAATGTAAAGTGCTTTGGGATCTATGGGTGAAAAGTGCTGTGTAAGAGCTAAATAATAAATGGAAAAGCTAATTTTTCTCACAGATCAACTTTTTTATTTCTGGCCCCCAGTAAAGAACCTTTTTTATAGGTGTGTGGGTGGGGAAAGTAGAGGGATGAGGTGGGAGCTGGGAAGATTTGGGTAGATTCTTATCCTCATAGCATGCTGGCAGCAGCAAATCAGTGTGATCCGCAGTTTAAGTGCCTGAGACTTCTCTAGTGTACTGAAGTAGCAAGAACCTTCCCAAAGTTCTTCACAATGCATAAAGTAGTTGAGTAAAAACACCCCTGGAATGTGCTTTGTGAGGTGTAAAACTGCATAGCTGACAGGGAAAACTGGGTTAATTAATAATCCATATTATCTACCCTTCTTCTCTCTTACAGTCAGTATCCCAACTTGTGGTCTGTGAATAACAGCACCATCACACCCGTGTCTCAGTCAGGTGGGATGTCCAATGGACTGAGCTCCCAGTTTTTGCGAGGCTCTCCAGCACACTACCCACCTCTTCCTCACTCTGTCACTGCCTCCTCCTCGGGATCTCTGCTGTATGACGCTGGCACACCAACAGACATTTCTGAGAGTCAGTATGATACCTCTGCACATAATAGGCTGGCATCCACATGGACTCCTGTCACACCACCTTCCATGTAAACCAAGCCCTTTCTTTAAGATAAAGACTTTCTAGCTATTTAGTTACTCTTAATACTGAATCCACAATGAAGTCTTGAAGAGGGGGAAAAGAGACATGAAGAAAATTACAAACAAAAAGGCTGCACTGCTTTTGTGTAAAGTAATTGAATTCTACTTCTTACAGTATAACAGTGTATCATTAGCAGCATAAAGACCTTATGAGTGCAATTCTAGTATAGCAGATTTACTGCTCTTCCTTTTTAAAATAAATATTTTTAATCCTTTTCCATTTGGCAGAGATGGGCCTGAAACACCAAAATTTGACCCATATTCCACACTTCTCAATGTTCTGGGACTATCTGGATCTGGGGTTTTGTTTCATGCCCATCTTGACAGTTTTGTCAGGTTTTTTTTTAATAAGCTACTTCCTGTCAATTGCCAGTTAACATTTTGCTTAGCTGTAGTTGTGAGAGAAGTTTTATTAAGTGCACAGTTTGAATCATTCTCAAATCTACACAAATTTAGCTAATGAATGAAATTTGGAGAACTGTGTGCACTAATGTTTGTTTATCGTGAGAATATGTGATATTCTCGTAGTTGACAGTTTTTTATGCACAGTTATATGCTTATTATATGAATTAAATGATGAAGACAATCAGCAAGAACTTTTTAAGGTGAGTTTCATTGTTTGATCATATAGCCAATGAGCAACTTTCAGGCTAACTAAACTCCTGCCTTTCAAACAGCTATCATCTAATGGAGGGCGCCATCCAAAGTCCTTGGAAACCAATGGAAAGACTTCCATTGACATTAATGGTCTATGGCCCAGGTCCTAAATGAGAGAAGAAAGTCAATACCTAACGGTTCTTTCTAATTTATTTTAGTTCAATATTGTACTCTGATCAATATTTATTATTTGTTAGGATGTGACTTTGTTTTGTACATTTTAAGATGTGTATATAATCCGTCAATATGCTGTGTACCTTAAGACAATCATACATAGGGCATGTCACCACATGACATATGGAAATAGTGTGGATCCAAGTAGTTAAGTTATTATACATGAGCAAATACCAAATGTCAGTAATTTGGGATGGGAGTATAGATATAAGCCTTAATGTACACCAACTGCTTGTCTTCACTAGAAGATTAGGTCATGGTAATGTTCTTGCTGTCCATGCCTCATATCTTTGAGGGCTCTTATTAACTACTGTACCATGAGTTGACCTAGTCTTTTGCTGAAGACAAACCCCAAATGCTGGGTCAAAATGTGCTTTTGGATGTGCATGCTTCTTCCACTGACTTCAATGAACACACAGTTGAGGGTGGAATCTGACCTTTATGCATAAATCATAACAAACCCCTTTTTGATGATGTGTATAAGGTTGGAAAGAAGAGTTCTAAGTTAGAGGATTCATTTAATATTTCATATGCTATAATGGCAGCTTAAAGCTGAAAAAGCAAATGTGTGCTGCACTTTTGGTTTCTTAGGCCCTGTTTCTGCAACTGGATCCACATGGGTGGGCCCTTGCATTCACGCAGCGTCCCATTGACTTCAGTGGGGATCTGCACCAGGCACAAAAATCTGCCCAGGCAGGTCCAGCATCAGGATCTGGGAGTTAGATGTTATTCCAAATGAGCCAATCACAACAAAGGGCAGCACCAGAGTCAGATGGCTGTAAACCGTGTCCTCTCTCACATTTGTAAATATTGATCTAAGCGCTCCTATTTTATTGTGAAAGTGAATCATGTAAATGATGTAAGTGCATTGTTGTTTAGACTCTTTTGTAGAAGTTAGCAAAGTATGTTTCATTGTGTTTTGTACTTATATTTCAAAAGTATTAAGTTAAATTGAAAAACAATTAGTAAAGTTTCTTTAGTAAACTAAATGCTTAGTTTTCAATTTGTGGAAATAAGTTTAACCTCATGAATTTCATTTATTATCTGTATTGCCATAGCACTTGGGAGCCCTTGTCACTGACCACGACCTCACTGTATTAGGTGCTGTACAGACACAGAGCAAAAACTCACTGCCCTAAGAGCGTACACTCTAGGTATAAGACAAGATTCAACCGATGGATGCAGACAGATGGGGGAGTACAACGATATAATGAGACAATATTGGTGACAGGCAGTGGTCATATTTCACGTGTGCTGAACTAATAGGTAGGTTGGCCCTTTATGGGATGGGAACATAGAACTGCCATATCAGGAAAAAATTGATAGTCTATCTACTTTCACCCCTGTCAAAGATAAAAAGTCTATGCTAGGTGCTTTATAAATAACCCCACTTTGCACCTTATTGTGCAGTGTTACTATTATTCCATGGGAAGGGAAGATTTCTTCATGATCCAAACTGATGATCATCGTAAACCCTTAGTCATGCGGATTGTAAAGAAATGTGTACAATTAATGGCCATAGTAATCGAAATCGGGAGTACTGTAGTAATTACTGACTAGGGAGCAATGTTTTTCATAATGAGAATCTTGTCCATTGAGTAAAGATGGACCTGAATTTAAATTCTGGCACATGCCTTGTGTTCAACCTTGATAACCAAACTTTTCAACTTTGCCTTTAAATATATCCATGATAATAAATGTATCTGTGCATGCAAAAGCCTGCATTTGTACTTGCACAAACTGGGTAATTCATGCCTAACTGCCCACTGACATGCTCTGGTTTTGGGTGCCCAAATGTCTGAGCACGTGCACACAAGTACAGTCATTGTGGGTGTAAACAGGTACTACGAATGTGACTCTGAAAGTCTAGTATAGTCAGTAATTAGGCCTACTCCATGTGGTGGCATGAACTAGAGATCAACCTTTCGCTACTCTCTGGATGGCTTGCAGTCTGGCAATAGGCCCCATTATTTAAGTCTCAGATCCATCACTGTGGGAACGACATTTAAAAGGGAATGGGAGTAGTTCTGTCAAGTAGGGCCAGGAAAGAAAGGGATATTGTAGGGAGGAAGGGATGCAGTGAGAGTGAGACACAGGGCTGTCTTTCCCTCTGGAACTGAAGTCCAGCCATGTTTTTGCTCTTTCTGGTTCTCTCTCAAGAGGTGTGAGGCAGCACAGCTGGTGTATGGATTGTAGATCTGTGAAATCACATCAGATTCTTTGAGTGCTCATACCACAAAAAGAAATTGGGCTAGGTCTGCAGGCAAGAATGCTTCCTCCGAGAGCAGAAGCATCTGTTGTTTTAGAACTGCTCTTGCCAAAGTGACCTGCCCTGGGTACAATTAAGGGCTCACCCTGCTGCAGAATGGAAAGTCCCCTTAACCATTTCCTAGGTGAACAGTATACTTGGCCATATAAGTCTCTGTGACAGAGCTGAAATCAATGCACTGGAGCAGCGGGAACCTCTGGTTGCCTGGGAGAGCATGTGATATAAAACTGATGGTTGATGTTTCCCATACCCACTCAATATACCAGAGCAAATCTATCCTTATCCACATAAGAAAACCTTGGGCTAGGGTGAGAGATCAGGCCTATTTATTTGCATATATTATAATGTTTCAACCTTATTGAAACACAAACTTTCAAATAAGGTCAAAACATTACAATGTTTCTGAATCAAGATATTTTATAATTTAGAGAAATTTTGATTTGGAACAAAAGAAAATTTCCAAATAGGGTGACCAGATGTCCCGATTTTATAGGGACAGTCCCGATTTTTGGGTCTTTTTCTTATATAGACTCCTATTACCCCCCGTCCCGATTTTTCACACTTGCTGTCTGGTCACCTTATTTCCAAATGTCAAAAATTTGCCTGGAATAGAAATTCTGTTTTCGGACTAGCACTAGTTCACAGGTTTAGCAGAGAATTTGCTACAAAACCTTGTCTATCTACACAAAACTTGACTGGTGAATCTCAAGTGGATATGGTACATCAGGTTTTTTTAAAAGAAATATTTAGGACTGAAGATAAATTTGTGCCATTATTCTTCTTAATTAAAAGTTGATCCATACATCCGGTACTTTCTCAACTAGTTAGTGATATAAATAGGTAACATCTTCTCTCCCTGAGCCTGTGTGGAAGGGTTAACACAATAAAAATGAATATTTTGCCTAGGTTCTTCTATATGCTAAGTGGCCTACCTGTATATATCCATCCATCTTATTTTAGAAAATTTAATAGCATTAGCAGAGCCTTCCTGTGGGATCCTGCTCAATGCCCACAGGTATAATTTCAAAAACTGTAACTGCTATAACAAGGGAGGGTGGGAGTTGGGTTCTCAGACGTACAAAATATCTATTATGTTTTTATCATGTTATAGATGTCAAACTGGTCCAAGCATGGTAACACACTTATATCAACGTGGGTGGAAACTGAACATGCACTAATGCATCCAATTTCCCCGGGGGTTCTCCTCAGTTCCTCTTGTTGTCCAATGTAGAGAAATAAGGTGCCTATGGTGGCAGTGCGAAAGGTCTGGGCTATCCTAGTTAAAGTGATACCACTTTCATCCACACCATCATGCAAAACACCTATTGGGTCCCAAATTTGCCAACTGGGAACAAACCTCTTATGTGGAAGAACTAGCTGAGCAAGGGCATTGTATGGATTTCCCAATTAGTCACTGATGAGGGCTTTGCCTCTTTTCTAATACTAAAGCAACTTTTTGACCTGCCATCCTCAGAGGAGTGGCAGAACTTACAACTAAGGGCAGGTCTATATCTATTCTACAAATGCCACATTGGCCGCAGCTGTAGCGCTTTGATGAAGATGCTCTAAGCCAACAAGAAGGAGCTCTCCCATTAGCTTAATTACTCCACATCCATGAGAGGCAGTAGCTATGTCAGCGGGAGAGCCTCTCCCACTGACCTAGTGCTGTCTGCATGGGGGGATTAGGGTTGCTAGAACTATGTCACTCAGGGGTGTGGATTTGTCACATCTCAGTGACGTAGTTATACCGAAGTAAGTGTGGCCTAAGATACTTGCTAACATGTTAATTTGGTCTGGATCCCGTAGGACTGCCAGAGGCCTCAGAGCTACCAAGAAACTTGGAAATGCTTCATAAACTCCCCAGGCTCATGTCCAACATATACTCAGTTAATGCAGAAGAACTTCCTTAGTCTGGAGTTCTTTGTGGAAGCATGGGAAGGGGATTTATCACAGCCCTTCTAATGGCAGAGCTTATTCTGGAATTGTAAAAATGCTTCTGGGGATCTCAGGCTACTCTTGATACCACAAAAGAGTTTATTCAAAATGTATTGGACACCACAGAGCTTGCACAAAACAAAAGCCTTGTCCTCTGACATTTGTTCACACTATAACAAAGAAAAAGGAACCCTATGCTATGGGACTGGCCATCAGTCAGGCAGCTGTGGGAAGAGGTGGACACCAGAGTTAGAATAGGGCTTGGCTTCAGTAGCCAAACCTCAGCGAAAAATTATATCCTAGGTTATTTACCTGCTAAGCGAAAAATTATATCCTAGGTTATTTACCTGCTAAACAGGTGGTTAACTCCACCACAAAGACTTTAGTTCTTGAGGTTGCAATGATCACCAAGCTCATGATTTTACAAAAAGGGAAGAGTAGGCTTATGCCCAGACTAGAGCAAGTTATTCAAACCAGTCAGGCTTAGCAGCCAAAGAAAGACTATCTTATCATCACAGAGATAAATTGTATGAACTCAAAGAAATTTGGACTCCTATT